TATTCTCTAGGAGTCAATCCTTCAAAACAAACCAAACAAACAAACAATCCTCCCCCCCCCCAAAAAAAAACAACAACAAAAAAACAAAAAAACCCAAAAACAAAACACACACAACCCCTCCCCCCAACAACCCCGCCTTGGTTGCAACATATTATGACTAACAAACCTGTCATGTAGATTTGATTCTTTTACAACAGTTTTCTTTCAGCGACTGCATCTCAACTTTACATGCAGTGAAGTCCTAGGCATACACGACACTGCTACACAAGATGTTGAGCTTAATTAACGTGGTGACTATTTCATTCTTACTGTTGTGTCCGGAGGGTGTCTCAAAAAGATACCTTGTTGCTAATCTTACCGTCACCCAGTACTAAATGACCACTGTAGATTCGAAGCCCGTCTCTAACTAACTGACGAACAGCCCACCCCTCTTCACTTCCCTTAATCCACAAAAACTCACAAACAAAGATATTATTAAGAAGTCTGTTTTACACGAACATGCATAGTCACTGTTCTAGTCTAAAAGTACAACTATGTGGGGCTTTTTTTTTGGCCACTGGTAACATACACCATAACTGTGACTAATTTATTCATCAGCCTAGAAGGAAACTTCTCCCCCTTGTCCGACTTCTTCCGCAGTTTCTGATGAGTGACGTTTTTGCTATAACCCACGTCATGGCTTGCACGCCTCCACGCCTCCACGCCTCCATGCCTTCTCTTTTGACGAAATTCTTGTGCTGTAAGCATAATTGTGTCACGACACGGTGGAGCCAGGCGCTCGTCAATTTTTGTACATACGGAGTTATTGGTAGAATCGTAAAACTTGTTTATTTGTCTCTCTTTTGATAAAAGAAACCCCCAAACTATTTATCTTGAGTGGAAGGGGAGACAATCATTGCAGTTGAAGGAGCAGGGCCACCTGGTGTCAGGAGTGAAATTTGCCTGAAAATGGGTGCCCAAAGTTTGGTGACTTACAAAGCTTGAGTGTCCAATGAGACAAAATTACATTTTCTGTTCCTTAAATCAACCTTTTTTTCTGTAAAATCCACACAGAAATGTATTTTTAAATGCACATTAAAAGTGTCACCCCCCACCCAAAAGAAGAACACACACACACACACACACACACACACACACACAACTCACAAAAAAACAACAACACAAAAAACAACCAAAACTGCCATAGGGACAGAAAAAGTTGGTATCTTATGTTTCATTATTTTGACGAGCACCTGCTTTCAACACGTTGATAGCAATATGTCTTTGATTCCGCACATTTGTAGATAAAAGCTTTTCTATTCATGTAAGAACGAGGTTTACAAGGGCAGAACCTGGGAGCACTCAGCCATGCAGCCTGACATAAGATGGGAATTAATTTTCCCAAGGATCCTGTTACAAAAATGTGCTGATGACGGAGGTTAAGCCAGGATCGCCCATATTATATCCCAGCACAATACACACTGAGCTAACTGTGCACTTTCTCCGTAACCTACATTCTAGCTAGCGCTAAAAGAACAGATTAAAAATGGAAAAACACAAAAGAAAATAGATACCTGAGGAAAACACTCAAAATGTTAGGAAAACATAATATGCCAATGCCAACCAAACTGGGAAATAAATTTCTCAAATTTAGTTAGCATTAACAATTTTCTTTTTCAAAAACCTACCAGGGCTCTCGTGGCCTAGAGGTTAAGGTGCTCGCCTCTCGTTCAATAGGTCCGGGTTCGAATCCGCATGGTGGCTGAAATTTTTCTTCTCTAACATTTTCTCCTTTCACATCCTTTCCTGCTCTAACAGTGTTTTCCACTTTCTTCCGACACTCCCTCACCTCCTTTGCTCCCTCCTCTGGGCTCCTGACTCTTTCTGCAGCTTTCTACTACTACTCCTTGGCTCTTTCTTACTGCTGTCACACTCCAGATCTTATGGCAGGTAAGTCTACACCTAGCCTACTTGGACAAGGCCGAAAAATCTCGAAGCTCCCGTGTGCAAGTTGCGCATGTTAAAGATCCCTTGGTGGTCTAAAATCGATACGAGCAGGCTCTGGCGGCCGCCACCCGGGCAAAATTCCAAATTTCCTTCCTTGTGTCCAGTGTTTAGTAAACCGCTTACCTTCTGCTGTAACCTTGAGAGAAAGCCTCTCGAGGCCGTACTTTTTTAACAGCCGCTCTGCCAGCCGCTTAAGCTTTACCTCTTTATATCCCAATTTTGGTGCTAAATCTAAAAATGACAAAAACGTCTTTACATGGGTCATACAATAGAAACTAGCAAACCTATTATTGATAGTTATTCATCTAATGAATGAACTTCCGGTATAAGAGACCTGTTTTTGGCTGAAAAGTAATTTTGATGTCGAAGTCGTCGTAGAGGAATGTGCCTGTGCCGCTGTCAGCGGCTCACCGGCAGAGTCACTGGGAGCGGCTTGTTGGAGATAAAGAGTTAAAAATTGCCTGCTTGCCTTGCCCCACATAGAGATCGCTGTTACATCAAGCCGTTTATCATCAAGTGTATAAATTACATTCTTCATAGACAGGGAAGGCGTTGCCCAAAATCTTACTAAAGTGTCATTCCCGTGACCGGATGTGACATGGGAGCTTGCTGGTATAATGCTGAAGGCGTGAGAGATATGTTTACCTTATAATTCGCCCAGAACCTTTTAGTCTATAACTAGATCACGATGGACAAATTATGAGAGAGAGAGAGAGAGAGAGAGAGAGAGAGAAAGAGAGAGAGAGAGATGAAGGGAGGGACAGAGCGTGGTTCTATAATCGTTATCATCATCATCATCATCATCATCATCATCATCATCATCATCATCATCATCATCATCATCATCATCATCATCATCAGTCATTTAGTGTTATCCGAACGGCGTTCATAACACTGCTTTCGTATCCTACTAGTAAAAACACATGTACAAGGTTGACTTTGTTACGTTTGTCCCAGACGGGAGTTCTAACGTACACTGATGATGTGAGCGTATATGTGTCCATGTTTGAATCACATGCTACAAAAAACTGTAGGCGTAAGATGAAGCACTGCTTTGGTACAACTGCAACGTGAAAACAAGGCCAGAGACAGTTTTGGATGCCCTTGGAAAGAATGTAGTTTGGATTCCGCGACAAAACGTCAGTGTCGCTCCTCACTGACGCATCCTCAATGACAGCTTTATCTTTGTGAGACAAAATGGTTTTCATTAGTGGATTTTAAAATTTCATTGCCTCGGACAGTGCGCTTACGTAAGTGTCAACGAACGACTTTCTCTATGTGGTCGTCCTTACCTGGCCCTCGGTGAATTGGTGGTTTGGCCAGTCATTGTATACTGACTGGCATAAATATTGCGAAAAAGTAACACCATATGTGTAGAAAACAAAACTGAGTATTTTCGTAAGTTGTCTTTATTCACTATTCACAATGTGTTCTTGTTACATGTATTGGATTGGCTCCATCAAAAAAACACAAAACGCTCATTGGCCGCTTATGATTCAAACAATACAACAAAGCAACCCTCTCAATGGTACGCAGTTAAAACGTGAATTGAATCGTGGATTCACATGTTAAGTTGGTCTGACCTATAAATTCTCTGCCCTAAAATGTTTGATTGAGTGTTGCATAGTCCGACTATCAAGATGAAAGATTATTTACGGAAAATCGAGAAAGAGCTATTGGACGGCTGCAAGCCAGCGAGAGCCCTCAGGAGGTTGCAACAGTCCTGGGAGTGCATGCCAGCACTATCTACCGCCTGCAAAACAGATTACAGGCAACCAACTCCACGAGAGATCTCCAAAGAGGCGGAAGAACTCGACTGACAACAGCTGTCCAAGACCGCTTTGTCGTGCGTCAGCATCGCCGAGATCCACGGTTGTCTGCCTCCGAGAAAGCCCAGAATACCATCGGAATGCACGGTAGAGCCGTGAGTGACCGCACCATACGCCGCCGACTTGTGGCCAGGGGGCTGTGTTGTCGGCGTCCGGAGCAGAGAGCACCCCTGAAAGTCCATCATCGACGAACTCGTCTCCAGTGGGCTCAGAATCACGTTAACTGGCGTCATCGAGAGTGTAATGTTAGTTTACACACACGACTGTAAACTGGAGAGACGAACATACACGACACCAAGCATTCTAATAATGGGCCTGGGTGTAATGTCTGACTTTTTATGTTGATCCCCGAAGTGAGTAACATTAACCAAAAGCCCATGACATACGGGGCGCTTACGTCCCGTGATTAAAAAAGAGTAAGATATAATACTGTGACTACCGTGACATCTCCCTTTTTAAGATTGAAGAAAAAGGAAAACCTCAAAATGGATTAAAGATTATTGGTTTCGAGTCTCTGATGATAACCAAAGGGGAATGTTCTAACTTTAACAAAATTCACACACAGAGTTCAATTGTCTTTGAAGATTCGGGGCTTGCACTTGAGAACCTGGTAAAACATTTTTAAAAAGTTCTTTGGTACTTCAGAATTACCACATTTCAAAGTGTCTTTGTCACATTCATAGAACTTCATAGCATCCAGATAAAGAAAATAAGAAAATAAATTACCTCGAACAGGTAGGTCTACACAACTGTTGGGTAATCAGGAAAGAATAAACAAAAAAATGTAAAACCAGTCATCGAAAGGACACGCCTTGGTCGCAAAACATCAGTCCGAGTAACGAGCGGGTCTCCTGACCACTCGTCCACTTCAGGTAGTTATTGGAGCAGGACTGGCTGGAGCGGCAGCTGGCTGAGGTGATGGTGGTGTGACATCAGGCTCCACTGGCTGGACAGCTGGTGGCGAAGGTAAGGAAACGGACATCGGAGTAGGCTCTAATGTGGCAACAGGTGAAGAAGGCATGGAAGGTGGGTCGACGTAGGGCTTCAGGTGTTTGCGGTTCCGGCGGTAAGCCCTATCCCCAGACTGTAAGATGTAAGACCTCGGTGCACACCGTTCTTTGACAACAGCAGGGCCACGCCACTACTTGTCGTTCTTCAGTTTCTGCAGGACGAATAGACCAGGATTCAGCTCCGGGAGGTTCTGGGCTCCGTGACGTCTGTCAAAACTTGTTTGTACTTACGCTTCGACTTAGCGTCTCTGGCTGCAATCTTCGCCCTTTCGTAGACCTGCTGATTCAGGTTTGACGGTAGAGTTGGCAGGGTCGTCCTCAGGCGTCGCCCAAGAGCAAGTTCCGCTGGGCTCGCCCCCGTCGGTGACACCGGTGTAGACCTGTAGATCAGGAGTGCGAGAAATGGGTCGTCCTGAATCAAGGCTTTCTTCGCTTCCTCGACTGTTCTCTCCGACCCGCCGTTGCTCTGGGGAAAATGAGGACTGCTGGTCGTGTGTTTAAACCCCCAGCCCTTGGCGAACTTGTGGAAACGGTCTGACACAAACTGGGGACCGTTGTCAGTCACCAGTAGTTCTGGAATGCCAAACCGAGCGAAGATGTTTTTCAGTTTGTACACAACAGTCTCTGAGGTGGTGTCTGGATTGTAGGCCACCTCTAAGAACCGTGAAAAGTAGTCCACGAGTACCAGGTAGTCATGTCCCTTGTAGTTGCAGAGGTCAGCACCAACCATTTGGAACGGCCGCTCAGGTAGAGTTGTCGGGGTTAGAGGTTCGCTTGGTTGTGCTGGACGTTTCTGCTGGCAATGGTTGCATCTTGAGACGACTTCCCGTATCTCGGAGCTGAGACCAAGCCACCAAATGGAAGATTTGGCCCGTTCTCGACACTTCGACACTCCGAGGTGACCGTCGTGGATCCTGCTGAGCATCTCTCCTCGCATTGCCTTGGGGATTACGATTCGGTTGCCTCTGACTAGTAGTCCATGGACTTCGCTCAGTTCACTGGAGACTGCGTAGGGGTCGCGAGCTTCGGACCTGACGTTTTGAATGAATTTCGGCCAAACGCCTCTGGTGTACTGTATCGCAGCACTGATCGCTGGATCCTGTTGAGACTCGTTTCTGATTTCGTCAAGTGTGCTATCCGTGGCATCCCATGACATCTGGATTGTAGCGACATGAGCCTCGATTTCTTCTCCAAATTCTTCAGGCTCGGTGCTCACTACTGGACTTCGGGACAAGGAGTCTGCGACAGTCATGTTTTTCCCTTGGGTGTATTCTGCCTTTCCGCTGTATCACATCATCTAATCAGCATCCGTTGGTAGCGGACAGGTGCATCATTCAGTTCTTTAGAGTTGATCAGAGGCACAATGGGCTTGTGGTCGGTGAGCAGTGTGAATAACGGCAGCCCGATGAGGTAGCGATCGAACTTTTCGCACGCCCAGGTGGCCGCCAACAATTCCTTTTCAATCTGAGTGTTGTTCCTCTCGGCCCCAGATAGAGTTCTGGAACAGTAGGCCACTGGCTGAAGATCACCCCTATCCTCCTGGAGGAGAACTCACCCCAGTCCATAGCTGCTTGCATCGGTGCTTACGATGACAGGCTTCCTCATGTCGAAGAGCGCGAGTGTTGGAGCTGACGACAGTCTATTCTGTCTCGAGAAATCAGTCCCAGACGAACAGCGGCGTCGCGACTGAGAAGGCTGTTGGTGTCGTCGTCAAGGACGAAAACACGGAACGCAAAGTTGCGATTGTTATGCTGCGTAGTTGCGATAAATTCTCTCACGCTCCTCATGACTCGGCCAGGACTGCAAAGAACTGCAGACGTTGTTTTCAGCTTTGGACGAGGACTGAGACGGTTGTAGTCGGCCTTCGACATTATCGAAACATCGGCCCCTGTGTCTATCTTTAAGGATGTAGTTCTCCCTCCAAGGTTCAGTGTAACGCACCATGGTGGCTCGCTAACTTCGCCGAAGTTCACATCAGGAACGACATTATTGTCCGAGTCTTTGTCAACACTTCCCAAGAAGAACGAAGGAGTTTCCGATTCAGTGATTTCGTTGACATTGCGGCTGCTGCTGCGACAGACTGTTGCAAAATGATTGCGCTTGCCGCATTTTCTGCAAGTTTTCCCACGCGCTGGGCAATTGTTTTGGGCATGGCCTCTTCCACAGTTGCCACAGTTAGAGAAAGTTGGCGGTGATGCATGGCTGCCTCTGTGTTGTGAGTGTGTACTTGTTCTCCGGCCGCCTCTACCCCTGGGGTGAGCAGGCGACGAATACCCCATCTGGCCGTAGCGCACTGCATCTACTGTGACTGATGCACCTAGCTGACGTTGGCTACTGACCTGACCCTTTTCGAGCTCGAAATGGCGTGCTGTTTCGATGGCTGATTTCAAAATAAGAGTTGCCTCGAGTTGTAAGCGCTGTGACAGTTCATTGTCCTGTACTCCTAGGACGAGTCTATCCCTTATGGTTTCATCTCGGTCCTTAAAGTCTGCATGTTCTGAAAGCTCGTACAGGGCTCTAACATATTCTTCTATTATCTCCCCACTGTTTTTTGCTCGTGCATGAAACTTCGCTCTTTCGTGGATAAGATTCCGCTTGGGGACAAAGTGAGCGTCGAAATTCTCTAAGACCGTGTCAAAGTTGTCCCTAGAATTGTTACCTTCGACGGGAGCAGGGAACGTGAACGTGTTAAATATATGTTCAGCTTGGCGTCCCATAGCGTAAATTAATTAACTTCCTTGAATTGCTCCGGTCTCTGCGCTCAGTTTGGTGGCTGTGTGGTATCGTAGCATACGCTGTCGCCATTCGGGCCACTCGTGAGGTTTGGAAAAGTCAAACGGTCCAGGATGCTTGAAATTAGGCATTCTGACACTTGTGACACGTTATCCACTGACTTCTGACACCATGTAATGTTAGTATACACACACAACTGTAAACTAAAGAGACGAAAACACACGACACCAAGCATTCTAATAATGAGCCCGGGTGTAATGTCTGACTTTTTATGTTGATCTCCGAAGTGAGTAACATTAACCAAAAACCCATGGCATACGGGGCGCTTACGTCCCGTGATTAAGAAAGAGTAAGATACAATACTGTGACTACCGTGACAGACAGTGGCAGCGTGTGATCTTTAGCGACGAGGGTCACTTCTGCATCGGTCCTGACAATAGACGGGTCCGAATTTGGCGCCGCCCCGGACAACGTTACTCTGACGAGAACATCTGAAAAAGAGAACCGTGGGGAGGTCAAAGCGTGATGATATGGAGCACAATCGTTATCAATCAAAGACTGGGCCCCATCATCTTCCAAAATTTAGGACCTGGACGTGGCAACGGAGTGACGGCACAACGCTACATCCTCCAAGTCCTGTAGCCCCATGTTGCTACATTTTTCCAGAGACATCAAAATGACCTCTTTCCGCTGGATAACGCCCGGCCTCGTACATCACGTGCTACCCAGCAGTTCCTGGTACAAAACAACATACCCAGCATGCCTCACCCACTCAGATCACCAGATGTGAACCCAATAGAACACCTTTGGAGCGTCCTTCAGAGGCGTCTCAACCAACTCCAGCCCACACCCCGAACAGCTGCACAACTGGGTGCTGCTATTCTTCAGGAGTAGGTACAGGTACAGGTCCCCAACTTCCAAACCAATCACTTGGTCCACTCTACGCACCGCCGATGCACTGCTGTCATCAACGCTAATGGGGGCCATACCAGATACTGACTGGAACTTAAGCCCCAAGGTCAAGGTCACTGATGCCGAATAACAAGATCTGTCCCCAAGCAAATCCCCAGCTCTTAAGCATTGTTTTGTGCAATTTGAGACACCTCAAACCTGTTTCTCTACATAAAAATATTGCTTCAATTTACTCTCCTCTTCTTGTGTCATGTGAATTCGCATTACTTTTGCCGGTAAGTATTTTAGCAAGAATTTTAACGGAGGTGAGAGTCGAGGACTGACGAGCGAACGGCGCTTAGCTGTCAGTTTGGACCCCACCACCCTTCCCCCTCCCTTTTCCCCCTTCTCCGTTCTCACCCGATTCTGTGTTCTAAAATTAGTATTAGACATAAAAATGCGATTGGAAATTGTTTGGTGCTTGCTTTACTCAATGCGTATGTGTTAAGTGTATTGTAGGCCTATTGTGTCGGATACTACCTAGACTTGGTCTGCTTAGGACAGCGTCGGTGGTGTGGTATCAGTTTGGTCCTATGTTTCTACAGACTATTATAAATCAGCTCGTTAACATCATCATTACGTATATACGATTTCTTTAGTTGAAGGGGACCATATTCCCAAGGGCTCTACGCGCGCGCGCGCGCGCGCGCGCGCGTGTGTGTGTGTGTG